TATTACTGAATCTGTGTTATTGCTCCAGGGACAGACTAAATTGAAAACATAATTTGCAATCCATCACAAGATAGGTATTACCAAACAAATAAAGGGATTTCTGCTTTGGCCAGCAAAGAATAGAACCTATAAAATGTAGGCGAGGATACTGCATTAGCATGGCAGAGATGACATACAGGAATTCTTTAGTGACTCATTGGATGGATTTAGACTTTATTTCTACTGTTCAAAATAAATGCATTCTAGTAAATGTCACCAGCACTTGGTTCACGAACCAGTCATTTGCGTATACAGGTGCAGATAGACGACACCTTTGAGTAGTTCTCTTATAAAGGTGCCAGAAATTACTGGACAGTTTCACCAAACCAGGGAAGAGAAACCAAGTTACAAACATGAATCTTTTTAGACTCTTTTCTTGGGACTTGTTTTATTGAACACAAAAGTATCACAAAACAAAAGAAAATTGACTGAAAAACAAAAAGCAATGGTTGTTATAGGAGTTCCCTGCCTTTGCAAGACAGGAGGGGGGCATATACTCCACTCCATTTTCACTCGGCTTCCCTACTTCAAGCAACTAAGCAATCAGCTGTAACATCTTAACCCTTTACCTTATCATGGGTACATTCTAGCATTTTTCCCCTGCAGAAGACATGTAATAAATAGGTTTAGAGAAACTTTTTCATATGTGGACTCCTTCATAGAGGCAGTTATATGACCAACAACCAGTTACAGATTCCTCACTGTTTAACTTACTGCCAGATGCTAATTAGTGTGCAAATTCACTGATAAATCAGGATTTGACTGTATAATCCACATTTTTACAATGATCTGCAAGAGAACACAATAACTACATACATTTGCTGCCTTGACTAATAGATTTTTAAGGCCTGACGATCATCAATGTTTAGATCATCCAGTATGGCCTCCTGCATGGCACAGACCATAGAATTGTACACAACCAAGTTAGATGTGAGAATTTTCCCAACTTTTGCAAGAGATTTCATGGAACTAGAGCCTATATGAGCCCTCCCCAGAAGAGTCAGCACAGCACTGCTGTTCTACCAAGATAATATACTATGTCATCAACCCCCTCCAGAGGGACTTTCAGTAGAGTTCACTAGAGTTCAATATTCTGTTTCATGACTGGATGAGTATCATGACACTATCATTTTGACAAACCAACTCAGAGGCTTATGAAGCCAGAAAACTGTTCCAAAATACTGGTACAGGCCTTGTGGGGAGATTGATGAGGTCTGCAGCTGAAAAAAAAATGTTACAGTTACAAATGATAAGGAGCACTCTTGGTAACTTCACCAGCCTGAATGTCCAGTAGCAGCTGTGGAATCAATGCACCTTTAAAGGGGAAGCCTATATAACAGGGGGAAGATCTGAGACAAATGGCTGAGAGCAGTTACCATGGTTAAAGGACTGATTGCATCTCTCTTTCCTTTCTGGTGCACCTTACCAGGTGTTGGGCTTCAACTCTTATTTGTACCTAGGGGACTGGAGGAGGATTTCACATTTTCGCACATTTATGGGATTGGCTACATTTCTCACCTTCAGGAGCCTGTGGCCAGCTATTTAATGACCAAATGCTTCTTAAAACAAGTGTGTTTATTAGCAGATGCAACAAAGAATAAAGTGTTTAAAAACAACAGGCAGCCTACCTGCATATTCAGTTTCCTCTAAATTTATGCTTTTCTACACCCCAATTTAGACAGACCACCATCTAGAGCTACAGGACCAGAAGGGAACCAACTTACTTTCTTCTAGGGTAGAGGTTGGCAACGTTTTTGGGCAGTGAACCAGAATGACCCAGCTCAGGTACAAGGTGGCCTGGCACTAGGACCCAACTGTTACTCTGTTGCTACTGCTGCTACCACTTCCCCCCACTACCCAGCTGCACTATGGACAAAGCCCCTTCCCCCGTCCCCCCAGCCACCAAAGCTGCTCAGCACTGAAGACCCCTGGCTCTGCGCAAGATGGAGCAGTGCTGTGGGCCAGATCTGTAGGCTGTAGGTTGCCAACCGATGTCATGTTCTAGGGAGTCAAGTTGCTCTTGGGACCTGACCTGGTTTCTGTTGGCTTCCACCAAATGACTGTCCTAATCTTGTTCCCACTTTTAGAGAATATTTTCCTCAAAGCCAAACCCTGCTTCTGTGTGCTCCCATCCAACTGACATACTGCTCAGTGATTTCTGCTAGAGGGTGTGGTGTCTTGCCTTTGACTGTCTTTTTTCCCCAGTGGCCCATCTGAGAGACTGGCTTTGTGATGGTGCTCTGATGTTTGCCAGATGGTTCCATTTATCCCTGGCTGGCAGTCACTGATTCTGTCACTTGGTGAGGGGAAAAAGTATGCTGACCTTTTCAACTCTTTTCTGACATTACATTTACCATCTCAGAAAGCCAATGTAGACTCCTTATTTAGGGGATACAGGCTGTGTCTACACATGCATTAACTGCGCAGGAACTCACTGTGCAGCAAGTTACTGTGCAGTAAGCAGTTTTTAGACCAGCGTCTACACATGTAGATGTTACAGCACAGTAACACTGTGTGTGCTCCAACTTGGGAGTAAAGTTACTCCCAAGTCAGTCCACATAAACAGTGTTACTGTGCAGTAAGGTATCTACATGTGCCTTACTGCACAGTAACTAAGCAGGTGTAAATTTGCTCCCTGCATGATGCAGGAAGCATGATGCAGGGAGCAAATTTACACTCAAGTTGGCATGTCACCATAATTAATGTACAGTTTAGGCGCACATGTATAGACATGCACCTGTAACCTACATTACTGTGCACATATAAACATACCCACAGATCAACATCCACCAGCATACATCAGGAAAAAATTTTGCACAGAGGAAAATGTACTCAAAATGCTTTTTGGAGACTGCTGAGCTTGGCATGGTCAAGATACCAGCAACTTGAGCTGCCAGTGAGTGCTGGAAATCTGTGAGTGCCTCCAACATTTCCTCCTCTGTTTGGGTTCCATTTATATGCACCATATTGTGGGGCTGCACAAAGTTTGATTTACTTTGATAGACGTAATCATTACCCTTCAAGCAGGATAAACGTAAGAAACAATCAAGTTCCTTCATGGAACAGGGGAGCTGAAGCAGTAGGAGTCACCACCTACAACACTTGCACCTATAGAAGCTGAACTATGGGCACTGACAGATATGCAACTCCCTGCTGTAACTCATGGCACTTTGCAGGATCGCCCAAGATGGGAGGAGCCATCTTGAGGGGCTCCAATTCACCCACCCCACCCTCTAGCACAGGCTGGGCAAGCCCCAGATGTAAGCCCCAGCACCGCTTCAGCCCAGCCCTGCTCCCAGCATGCACTGAGACTTTATTGAAAGTCACCTGGGCCTAGAGTGACTGAGGATTTATTTAGGGAGCTTCTGGAGGGGCTGGACATTTTTAAGTCAGCCAGCCCGGATGATCTTCACCCTAGAGTCCTAAAGGAACTGGCTGGGGTCATTGCAAGTCCCCTGGTATGGCTTTATGAACACTCGTGGTGCTCTGGAGAGGTGCTGGAGGACTGGAAGAGGGCCAACGTGGTTCCCATCTTCAAAAAGGGAAGGGAAGAGGACCCAGGGAACTACAGGCCAGTCAGTCTTACCTCGATCCTGGGCAAGCTGTTCGAAAAAATTATTCT